GGGGGGGGGGAGTTGTGGGTGGGGGGGCTGTAGGGTATGACCGTGTCTGGTCTCGACGCCCGCCGGCGTTGCTCCCCAGGTACGGACATAGCAGTCGAGGTGGACGCGTGTGGGAGTTTGCACGTGTCTGTGTCACTTGAGGCGGAAGGACCAGGCAAGGGCATGAGGTGCGATACTACCTCTCATATCGAAAGCTTATTTAGTGTGGAATGTTGCTTCCGATCGGCATTTACGTCTACGAAGGTGCGAGAACTCCCCCCCGGAGTTCGAGGAGCCAGGCAGCCGTCCATTCGAGACTGGGCCGGGTTGGGCAGCGCCGCCGCGGCAGCCGAGCAGGGGCGCAGGAGAGACGGCGAAGCGCCTGGACAGCCTCTTCGGCTTGTGAGAGTCCGCAACCCTTGGTGAGCCCGGGGCGTACCTGGTGCACGGTCGCCTGTGACCGTTTTCGTACGCACGGACAAAGAGGTCAGGCCTTTACCATACTCCACTTGGTGTGCATCTGACCAATAGCTGTTGCTGGTAAATCTGTGTGTACGTTGTTGTTGAAAAGGGGGAAGCGCGAGTGGATTGGAGATTGGGGCGAGAAGTCGGAAAAGTGGAGCGACCGTGTCCGAGCGGAGCTTGGCTGGAGCGAGCAGAATGACGGCACCTTTTGGATGACGTGGCAGGGTAAGGCACCGGTGACCCAATAATCAATGATTTAGGTTGCTGTTGATTGATTTAGATGATGCGGCAGACGGCGTTCATTCAGAAGTGTATGACGCGGCCCGCTTTCTTCCCACCTATTGTCGCGGCTGACGTGGATGCACGGCAGGTCTTGATACGATGCCCCTTGGCATTAGCATGCACATTCCCGGTTAATGCAAATTTGTATCGACGCGGGTCGGAAAAATGCGGCATGCGGCGGGAAGATAGTGATGGTGACCTTGGTTTTTGCCGTTGTTTTTGCTATTTTTCTTGTCGTGCACACCCTGCAAAACTACGGCTGCAGCTGGTGCTGCTGCTGATGATGATACCGCTGCGAGGTGACGATGAATCGGCCTCGACAAATACCATGCTTGAAAATCTCCGGTCATTCTTGCCATGTTTGGTGTCCGTTCTCCATCAGACTTCATGAGTCGATTTCAGCTGGTGGACGTATGCAAGGCACGGCGAGACTGGTCCCACGCTTCTGTCACCACCCACAGCATTCCCAGCCCCAAGACTTGCAGGTATAACTAGCGCTCAGATTTGATCTATATCAAGAGTACTGTGGGTACCATTGACGCTACACACCAGCCGAGGTGCAAGCCGAACTCGATGTACCTCTCGGTTTTGCACAGAGCCAGCGTTTGCGAATTCTATGTGCCACCGGGTACGCTCTGTGCTTCGCCACTATTCCTTGTACGGGTCTGCTGTATCCGGTGTTTCCTGTGAGGTCGTTTCCCGTCAAAGCGGCTTGTGAACCAGCGCTACTATACAACGGAGCCAATAGACATGAGGTCAGGTCATAAATTGAAAAGCACCCTATCCGTCCACCTGATCAATGATTCTGACTAAAGTCAAGACATTGAGGTGATGGCATACGGGACAGCAGCGCTAGGACACCTACATGCGACGGCACGTCTAACGTGCATTTCTCAACTTTGTACTATCTGTTTACGTTCGTACTCTCCGGTACACATGACAGCGGTGAGCGCGGCGCAATCACAGTGAACCATGTTTCGCTTTTATCGTGCTTGTCTGTAGCCATCATACACACATGTACAAGCTTTCAACTCATGAAAGTATGGCCGTGTTGTACGTGGCGTACAACAGAGTGCCGTTCGGTATGTAGCTCCGGACGATGCCCCTCCGCCCCTACGCGCCTTGCAGATCTTTTCGCGTCAGACCTCTGCCGCCACCGATGGCAGCAAACACAGAGGGGCAGACCTCGTCTCAAACAACGGGGAAAAAACTAGCAGCGACAGCTGCAACAACGTCACCGACAGTAGCAGCAACACCAACAACCTGGGCGTACATTACCGTGGTCCAGCCGACCAAGCGGGGGCGGAAGGACGGGTGAGCGCCAGCCCCAACCGTTGGGCCTCTCATCCTAACGCTTAAACACTTCATCCCTTTCCGTAGCCCAAACCTCAATCCTTTTACCGTTGATTTCATCTCCGAAACATGGTTGTTTTGCCGTTGCGGGACCATGTGTCACCATTGCGCGATACCAACAACCTTGCAACCTGGCCACTCATGATGGGGAAGCCGGAGTCCAGAAAGCAGGGTTGCCGGAGTTTTACCCCGTGCTGAACCCCCCTTGCTTGTGCAGCGACTACCCGTTCCCAAGCTGCGCTGTATCGGCAGTCTCCTTCGTCTCTTTTTCTCCTCCTATCGAGTTATGTATATTTTCCCAAGAAATTTGTGAGCAAGACAAAGGCAAGGTAAGGAGAGTAAAAGTCAAGTATAGCGATGTCCGTGAAAAGTGAAGCACGTTTTCGGCGACGCCAGGAAATCGAACATTTGGGCAAGGAACCGTCACGTTGTTCGATCTTTGGCGCTCCCTGCTTGGTTGGCAGCTACTGGTACAAGGCTTTGGGGCTGGTGGTGGCAGAGATGAGCCCCTCTCTTCCTGCTCGTGGAGATACGGGCCACAGCGGTGGCGTCCTGGTGGCTTCATCTCTCGGCGGGGCGAGAAGGTGATAAACATGGGCCAGAAGGGTGCGTGCACGTCGAGGAAAAGGCTACAATGAGCTTCTTGCTGTGGTGGTCACCGTCGTCGTCTTATTGTGGTTGTGGTCGACGTTGCTGTCGACGTGCTGTCGCTGATATGACTACCTTCCCACCGTATCTCGCTCTGACCTCAACCACAGCAATACACACTCTTCCCCTACCTTCTTGGACGCAAAGAGATGCCCCAACCGTAGTCATGCATAGCCTAAACAAGGGCGCACTTTGAAAGAAAACAAGGCACAAGAGCAAGTTCCCTTGCACTCACGGTGTTCGCCGATATTACTCGACCCTAGTATCTGATGATCTCACGCTTTCAAGTTCAGAAGGCACAACGGCAGCAATTTCTTCTTCTCTGGGGTTTTCATCCGACGAGGAGGGCGGGAATAGGTGACGAGGTGTTAGCATCCACCCTGTTCCAACCGAGTACCGCCGATTGACCAGGCTGCACACCGGTTTTAATTTCGCTTGTGTTTTTGTTGGGATTACTACCCAAGTTCATTGTGGCTGCGTGCCGCAGGGTGCGCGACACCTGCACACATCATGTGGAGGGCTGTCGAGCGCCAGGACAAGCGGTTCGGCGCCTAACAAAAACCCGCGCCAAGCGAGGATCGAGGACCCTTTGCACTTCCTGGTAGCAGCCCCGCCCGCCGCGCTGAACATGCAACCCACATTCTCACATGTTCTCCCCCACTGCTACAAGGTCTCTCTCGTGCGAGGTGTTTCTGGAGAGCGGCAAGGCGTACACGGCATCGGTGGTGTGCCTGGGCGGCGAAGATAGCGACAAAATATTGTCCGGAAGGCCGAAATTTTCTGCGGCAAGCACCCTCCTCGCAGAATCGACGGGGTTCCGGGGATTCCGTGTTACGGTGTACAGCGCTCGTCCCCTACAGGTAGATTGTGCACGCATGTGCGCGGCGGGGATGGAGTGATTTAGCCCTCGGTGAAGTTGGGGGTGGATGTGATACACTGCACAGACGATCGGTATTTCTTTTAGTGTTCCTTCAGCTGTGGCTTCCGGTGGCACACAAGAATGATGATCCAGCCAGGGCAGTCCTATGGAAGTACAGATTCGAGGTTTGGCATCGTGTGCTCACAGTGTGAAACCGGTTCCAACCGAAACAAGGCGGTAGACGATGCGAATCCCTACATCGCTCTGTCTCGGCCGTTTCTCGCCGTTCTCGGCCGAAACACTGCCGCATCGCACGGGCCAAAGAGCAAAGAATCCAAGCCAGGTGAGAAAGAACGAGGCTACCCCATTCATCACCTCTTGCTCCACCTCGCGGCGAAACCATTGGCTGCCCGCGCCGCCATCCCCGGGTATGATCATGGAGTGGAGACTATCCTGAAGGGCATCTAAAGTTTGTTTCCCCGCTGTCTTCCCTTGGACTGTTTCCCACGTCGCAACTCCCCGAACTGCGGGAGAGAGCAGATCGTCCCAGGAGAGCAGCGACCAGCCTCACCCGGATATTTTCGAGCGGAATCCTCTATACACCAGGCCTTGTCCCGTCGATCATCGGAGGTGAGGGGGAACCCTGGGTGGTATCGTACCAGGGCCTTCGACGGGGCTTGGCCTCGAGACAAATTTACAAATTTGGAAGAACACAGTGTCGGCAGAACAGTCACGAACGCCCCGCGGCAGGTTGGCCTGAATTCTGCTGCCGGGTTGACCACTACGTCTCGCGTACCTCTTAGCAACAACTTGGACGACATATGGCACGTGCCACGGTACGTCTGGCCCCGCTATCCTAGAGTCGGGGTGTTTTCATGGTTGATCCCTCTGACCCTTCCTTTCACCGTACCGGGTTGGGATCTCAATCTGGGTCTTACTTGCTCGATGCCTGCTGAATCCCTTATTTCAGGAGATTTTGGCGAAGGGGATCGTAGGGCGTCGAGCCGTTTCCGTGCGGAACCCCCTGCAGTCGTTTGCACTAGGTGGGGGAGCTGCGTTGTCGGTGGTCCCGATGGAAGGCAGCGCCCTATTCTTCCTATTGATAAATGTCAGGTGTGTGCGTGTGTCCGCTTGTTATGAACTGGTTGTGCGGACATGATACGGTCCGCATGGACGGCGGGAGGACGCAGACCACCGTTTTTGAAAAGAACCTATTGCACCACCGTCGGGATGGCATTGTTTGGATGAGGCGTGGTGTCTGGCGGCCTGTATTGCTTGTCATCTTGTTGGAGAGCAGGGAAACCTTCAAGCAATAGCTCGTGAACGCTTGCACCCGTTGCGACTCGTCCACAAGTTCACGTTCGTTAGATGTATTTCATCGCTTCGGCGGCAGGCGCAGGGCGTCCGCCCTGACTATCACACAGGCTGGTCTTCGAGACGAAGAAACGATACTTTGTCGCAATACCGTGCTCAATCGCGTCCATACTGCGCCCAGGCACCATGCGACGGGTTCTGTCTCTACGGAAAAAGGAGAGTGCTGCACCAGGCAATCACCAAACGAAGCTGTGTTTTCCTTCATAAACGCCGTATGAACGCAACCATGATGAGATCCTCGAATCTTCGTGGCAAGGGCGCATATTCTTATCGGAAATACCTCATTTTCGCTTTGCCGCTACTACAGTTGTGCACAACATTGCATCAACGGTGCTGCCTTTAGTCGCGTTGGCCTACATTCGACAGGCGGACACAACAGGAATAATGTTGCTGTGTCCTTCGTGGTTCATACTCAGTCAGCTTGTGTCCGACGTGAAGAACACAGCGTGGGATCATTACCGTGGAGCAGTACATTTTGGCTGATTCGGCTTAGAAATCTTGTCGTTCTCGGAAACGCCACTCTGTGCAGCTCGTCGGAGGTTGTGCTCCGTCTGACGTTGACGTCACTGGAAGGGGCAACCGTAAGCACGCCGGATTCTCAGGCGTCACCGGATGGCAAAGGCATGATGAGCTCCACGATGTGCCCCGCTAGATCGCAGAAGATCGCTCTGGTTCTCGCTCGAACGGGTGAGCCGAGTCCCTGCTGGAGTCGTTTTCGCCTCGTCACCGCTGCGCTCTCCGACATGCGTGACCACTTGATTTTGATTTCCTTGTCTTTGGTTCCTGTCGCTGTCCCTTGCCCCCTTCACCGTGACTCACATTCCCCCCCATGCTTGCGCGGCGATACGTTGTTCGTCACTTTTGGCTGGTGATAAAAAGCGGACCACGGATCATTCAGTCACGAGTTTTACTACCGCGTTTTGCGGCCGGCACCAACGGCACCAGCAACGACAGCGGCAGCGACGGCGACTAGACAAGGCGACGCCGGAGCGAAGGCTGCGAGCAAAACTTTTTCGAGCATAGCCACGAGGGCCTTCGCCGAAGCAACCGCCGCCACCCCCTTCTTTGGGGGTGGGTTATTTTCGGCACAGGCACTCTTGCCTGGAGCGGAGGAGTTGGTGAGGCGCGCGGGAGGCTACACCTTTTCGGGGGAAGGGGGGGCGGTGGAAGGGCGCGGAGGCAGCACTGTGACAGGCGAGGACGGAGGCGTCGGATCGGCGGCGGTGGCAAGGCGTGGCTGACGCAATATTCGATGAACGCTTTCTCCAATCGTAGATCGAGATAGGAGGGCAGGGCAGTGTCGTTGTGGCGGGCGTGTTTCCTTCTTGCTGCGACTGGCGTGCTTGTGACAGAGGAGCAGTTGCGCGTCAGGATCGTTTCTAGCGGTGGGTGCTCAGCGAGCAACGCTCGCTGAAGGTTAAAATGCTCGGAGTGGCTTGACGGTTCAGAACACGCAGGCGGCTGATGCATTTTTTTAGGGAGTTGACCTTTTAGATCTCGGGACCCTGACGCTATTCCGTGCAGTGGCAACTAAAGCTAGGCCGGGCCGGACCGACGTCCAGATGTTGGCTAGCTCGTTGTCCGTTGCAGTACGGTATCTTCGCTGCCCCCTTTGTTGTGGCATGTTGGGCTGCACAATACGAAGTACAACTGTGCATGAAGTGTTCAGAGACTTTTCAGGAGGGGGCGAGGGGCCATCCTGACTGCTTTGCTGGGAGAAACGAAGGGGAGATGTAGCGCAACAGTCAGCCGTTGAAACCCATTTATTCTTGGTAGAAATTTGGGGTCTTATAGTTTGTGCGACGACATTTTTGAGGCATTATGAGGGGCGTGGGGCTGAAAAGAGCCTAACTATTGTTTTTTCTCCTCCCTCGCCAGAGCTTTGCTGTCTCTTCACAGATGAGCATCAGGTGGAAATAGAATGGCTTCTTGGAACCTAGCCGATCGTCGTGTAGAACAGAAGAACTGGCGCATGTCTTGGAGGTTGGGGCGCTAAGACAACGGCAAGAGCGGGAAAGCCAAGCCCGTAGTACGTCCGCCCTACTGAAGAGTCGGCAAGCTTCTCTGCGCGCACCACATGCGGACAATGGTACTCCCTAACTGGTCATGTGCATCGTCGGTCATGAGCGACCGAGTCATGTGGTATATCATGAGCTTTACGCCTCATGTATATCTAGCAATTCCTTGCACCCGTTCAGTTCGAAAGGCAAGGCCGCGGGATGACTGCATACGCGAAAGGGCACTTGAGTACATTTCATGGGTGCACAGAAAAGGCACACAGGATTTCATTCAGAACAAACCATCTTTGCATTCCTGAGACCAATCCTGTGTGCTTTAAGCCTCAGATTGGGCGGACTTGAGGCGAATACCGTTTGTCTGGGACTTTCGCCGACTTCGCCCGTGGTACCTCGATGATTATATTGTTTTTTATCGGGAAGATGGCAGCGTACCCTTGTGCCTTCTTTAGAAACAACGTTGGGGGGCTAGATCGATAGGCTCCTTGGTATCGGATTTTGGAGCGCGCGAGCGACTTTCCCCGCGCGTCCGATAGTCTGCAGGATCATGACCCTGAAAAGCACGTGTGTGTTCATTGACTGGGTTTTGGTGAGGCCAAAAATCATTGGCGATCACTTGAATAAACAGCAGACGAGCATCACACGGACTGGCTAGAATTTATCGCACAACAAGAATCAGACTACATGTATCAGGAAGTTGCCGGCCTGGTCACAGGCAATACCCTCACAAAATCAAGACTCAGGGTTCTTGAAAGAGAAGAACACTGACCACAAAAACCGTCCCGTGCAACCTTCAGATTTAACCGCAGCATACACCCATCGCGGAAAAAATTAACGGTCAAGCCCTCCCGGGATCCTCAAATCTGGTCTCGTGTTGCAGTGTCGCAACACAGCCGGATGAAAACAACCGTGCGCTTGTAGAAATGAGGAAGGCAAGACGAAAAGAGCTCTCTTCTTGTGCACATTCACCAAATGCACGACGTACCAGCACCGACAAGCCAAAACGCACACATGAACACACGGAAAAAACGGCCAGAACCATGGCCGCCCCACAACCAGCTTCGCAAACAACATCCCAGCAAACTCGCCCTCCTTGTCTCACGCACAACCAACCAGCCTTCATTGTCCCACCAGACTACAACACGAACAACCAAAACCAAAAAACAACATCCCAGCAAACTCGCCCTCCTTGTCTCACGCACAACCAACCAGCCTTCATTGTCCCACCAGACTACAACACGAACAACCAAAACCAAGGATACCGTTTGTCTGGGACTTTCGCCGACTTCGCCCGTGGTACCTCGATGAAGGCAGACGCCACAAATGTAGAACATGACAACATGGCGTCTGTTCACATCAGGCACACACACAGCACGTTTCTCGTTTTGCCCGCAGCATTGCTTGGAACCAGTTGGCCGTAGTAGGAAGCACCCCGGAAGACGACGGGCAAAGCGATTCTATGGTGTCGGTCTGGGCGAGTGAATCCCCTGTACCTGGAGCACGCGACATCAAGTGGGAACCTCCGACAGACATGATAATTTTGACCTTGCCTGGCCGCCTTGAACCACTTGTCGAGGAAGCGCTTACTAGTCGACGTCGTCACCGTCGCCATCATGAACCCCCACGCAAGGTAGGCGACGCAGCCGCAGCGATCGCAGTTGCGTCGGATGGGGAAATTTTCCTGCCAGCGAGGTGGTGGCAGCAGAAGCAGGTGCGCTTGTCTTAGAGGGGTGGAAGCCCATCAAGTCGTGGTTGTCATGTGGTTGTCGTCGAACTCCTCGTCTTCGCAGCCACTCGGTTTGGCGAATGCGAAGCGTAGTGATGAAATTCGGTTCACGCCAAACCACAGCAGACGACAGAATGCCGAATGGCGGCCACAACACAAGGCAAGACGAGCGCAAAATCTTGGAATAAGCTGCTGTGAATCACGGACAGGAGGAGTGAAAATTGTTTGGCCTTTGTCCGTGGAGCCATCATTGTTCACCGATCGGAACGCTTTTGCACTGGATTTTTGCGCTTTTAATGCAAGTATCATGGTTCTTTGACAGTGCTTAATTCACTCAATTTCATTTCCATGACACTCATATCCACGGGTTTCTGAGAAAGTGGAGAATTTGATTGTCAGGTCGGCATTGGTGCCTTCGGCAAAGCCTACAGCAGCAGCGAAACACATTTGTTTCGAATGACACGATTCCATCAGGCAGGCATGTGTGTCGAGGTGGACGCGGTTTTACACCAGGACTTCAGACACAGAATCCCCTGCATGTGAACGTCATGAACAAGAGAGTGAATTCATCGCGTACTTTCTCAGCAGCGAAATGATATTTGGCAACGGTGCCCGGTATGTTTATCTTGAATTGACAGAAAATAACCAAATTCATGTCGGGACTTGGCTGAACATGGGGGTTTGGGACACAGAATACCCTGGATATGAATTTCATGCACATCGAAGAGGTGCCATGTTTCACTTACGCTGCGAAGAAAGTGAAATCGTTTGTTGGCGGGCATGGGGACTAGGTTTCACACGAGGACTTGGAACACATAAGCCACTGGCGATGAATGTCATGGGCAGAATATAGGAGTGAGGTTCGTGATGCATGATTCCGCGGAGCCCCTTTTCTTCGAAGATCAATAGAAGTTACATTTTTGGGGATATCACCTTGTTCGCGGGTATTTTCACATCAAATTCTTCAACAGCCCATTTGACCACTCAGTCAGCGGCTGACTGAGTGGGGTGTGGCGAGCTAGCATTTATACACGAAATATAATACTTGAGGCTGCTGACCTCCTAGCTGGAACAGTGACCTCCGGCGGCTTCCACCCCCTCGCCACGCCCTGCAGATGGAAACTAATCTTGGTGCCTCCAAAGTGTCCTGGCTGACCGAGTGGTCTAATGAGCTAGCCTTCATGAAAAAATGGCGTGTTAATGAAACCGCCGAGTATGTACCAGATGCATCCCGGTTCCATCGACGAGGAAGCCTCGATGTAGCTGACAGTAAAAAAGAGATTAGGCAACGACTCCTGCAATGAAATTAATATGACTCGATTCAACCAGGGAGACACGAGGCTCGGAGTCGGCACGCGGTATCATACCGAGACTTGCTTGACACACCGAAAACCCTGGCTATGGGTTCTTCCTTTGACACGACCAACGTGGATGCCGACCTCGAACCCGCCTCGTACGACGTGGTGATGGATTCAAGCTGTAGCAGCGATTCACTTTCACCAAGCAAAACCGCGTGCCCGCTCCGATCTCTCCCCGTCGCAGTCTCTCTCGTGATGATCTGACCTTTCGCCTCTGGCTGTTTCGTACAGTCTAGAACGAAGAGGATTCCCTGGACGTTCCAGTCTTCAGTTTTAATAGCGCCATGCCCTCCTTGCTCCCCCGGCACCCAAGCGACAATACTGAAGCGTGCTCAGGCCAAGATCTCCCCCACTCTCGTCGTGAAGGGTGTGCCAGTCGGGATTTGGCACTCATTTTCATTCTGGAACGAGGAAAGAGAAGCGGTAAGACGCAGCAGAAGCTAATGAAGGCTATCCGATGAACATAGTGTTCTTCCGACACCTAAAATGCGGTGGATTAACCAACCGGGGGATTACCTATATCATCTTCGTGCGTTGAATCGGACATGAAATACTGAAGGAGGCCCCACTACAGTGAGGGTACAGATCACCAACACGACGACGTTCGGGCGACAGCACCGCACCCTGAATGACTTCTGTTTGAATGTGAACCATTAGTTGGTCAAGTGGATGTACGAGGTGTGACGCCGCTCACACCTGGAAAAGTTGCTTTCACAAGTGGGAGAGCGGTATGCAAACGAGTCACTCTCACTGCAATGTTGTGTGGCAAAGTTGGTGTGTTACGAGCTAATTAGTTCTGTTGTTTTACATGGCAGCATCTTTGCCAGCTCCGGCGATCTCCTACGCTCCTCACACATACATCGTTGTGGGTCATGGTGCAGAGGGAATTTTCCCGGGATTCGGCGTTGCTCCCCCGCCCCCTTGTGGATACGAGTGAGCGAAATAGATGGATATTCTGGCGAGCAGCTTATGCTGCTGCTGCTGCTGCTGCTGCTGCTGCCTCCGCATTGGCCAATACTACCAAGTGCAACACGACAAAAAAAGAAAGCAGCACTACGTCTGCAGAAACACCCACGAGATGAAACGAGAAACGTGTCCTCGCGAACCCAAGAGTTTTGCAGCCGCCCGTATTTCTGACGGCCACGCCCACCTCCTTTCCTGGGCCCGTCAACAAGAACACCAAACAAAGTGGCATGCAAGCTTTTTCAGTCCATCCAACACCGCAATCTCTGCACTACTGTACTCCCGCACGGTGCCGTGGTGTGTTCCATCAACCAGCCTAACACATGGTTGTATGGGTGTGGTTGTGGCACTGTTTTTCGCGCGAAAGGAGGACGTCGCTTGAACACATCCTGGTACACATCAAAATCGGCAACACGGTCAACGAAATCGAGTGTCGGCAAGGGCTCGTTGTTTTATACCCACGGGTCCTTTACCTCGTGCCAGTGCCTTACCTGCTGGAACACACAACAGAACCACATGAGCCGCTTCCACATCAAGACACGGGTAGGGTTGCCTGGCCCCCAACCTTAGGTCCCCTCTTCTGGCAACGCGACCAACCCCCCCCTCTCTCTGCGCACCCTCGATGGCTGCACTCACCGAAAATGTGCCTGAGTGGACCGGCTACCACTGCCCACCCCGCCTCCAGCCGGCCGCGGTCTCTCCTTGGCCCGCTCAACTCTTACGGCCATCGACCTGCCTTCCGTGTCTTTCCAGACGCGGTACTCCACGTGGTCGCCCTTTTGCAAGGGCTGCCGCTGCTCTCCGTCCTGTTAATTGCCGTTCGTGTGTGTCGTGGGGGGCATGTTGGCATCCGCGGTACCGGAGTACGGCATTGCTGGAGTAGTGTCCCTCGATTGACGAGCCGAAACCCCCGTCGCATTGGCATGCCTACAAGCTCTCCACGATGTGCTGAGATGTCCCGATCAAGTTCGTTGTTGGAATAACAACTAGCGCAAATGAGGCAGAGAGCCACGGCGATACTACCCGCCGTTCTTCCATGCATCACCTACCTCCCCCCTCCACACGAAAAGAGTGACAAGACGCGATCACCTTCATCACTACATCACCCATCACGAAGGGGATGCGGTTGCCGCTCTTGCGAGAACCTTGGCCATCCTTCTTGATCCACGACCATCCCTCCGAGGACAGCGTCTGCACCACGCCCTTCCGCGGAAGGCCATCACCAGCGCTGTCCCTTCGGAGCGGGAAATCAGACAACAGGTCAGCAAACGACACGACCAAAAGGGTTAGATTGCACGAAACAAGGGGCAAGATTGAGGGTGGGGAGGGGTGGCGTCCTGGCACCCAAAGGTTGCGCGGGTGGCTCTGCATTACGCGGAATACTGAGGGGAGCGGGGGGGGGGCGTGAGGGAGACACTGTGGACAAACAGTCACACACGTCGCCAGTCCCCAGTCGCCACTATCGGCACCAAGAGTCAAAACATCCATCCATGCGGCGGAGCAAGAGTATACACGCCCATTGCAGCACACCGATCACTTGCCTTCAGCATTGCCTTTTGAGTGGGTATTCCATTCAGTGCTACACCTGTGCCTTCTGTGCATGGTTTTCAGTTTGCAGGCGTGGACAAGCACCGCCCTCGCACCCATATTCGATGGAAATAGATGGATATTCTGGCGAGCAGCTTGGTCGTCGTCAATGACTCGCCAGTACATGTAGCACGAGATGGTGGGTAGACTATATCTTATGGGGTGGATTTGTTTGAGTGTACAATTAATTGTAGTAGTCTTTGAAACCCATCTTGGTCTGAGAGCGTGGCACCGGGAAAAAGTTGCCTATTTTCCATGAACGGGAGGGTTGACGTTGTTTCATGTACAATATTTTGACTCAGGCTCCCATCGAGGGCGCTCCAAAACACACATTTCCTCGATATGCCGCGTGCCATCCGAGCCTGCGGTTTTCGTGTTTACGAAATCGTATGCCATAGATAGCTCTGTCGAGAGGACGGGCAAAGAATATCGAAAGATCGGTTGGTACTTCGAAATTTGACGCCACCACTGCTTTGTCTCTATCACGATCCTCGGATCTGCAACTACGTACGTACGACATGCAGCTGCGGCAGAATCCAAACCATATGTTGTCCTCCCCCAAGCCGAAATCAACTCCAAATCAGCACGGTTGCTCGGGAGTGAACCACCCAGTGCAGCGTTCCCCAAGACCATGTTCACTGCTGGGAATGGCCAGGTACGCGACCTAGGAAGTTGACAGAGTCTGCCTTCCATGCCTCTCAGAAACATTTATTTCCTCAATAGTCTATGCATAGTCTATACCGGAACGAGTACCACGACGACCAAACTTGAGAAGCACCTCTGACTCCTTCGAGTTGGAGAAATTGTACGCATTCCTCTGTTCAAACTACAGCAGCACCTATAGACGAATGAGCACAACAACAGCGATTTACTGTTAACGGAAACGACTCCCCATATACCATTGCGACCCATGCTCAACAAAGAAAGATATAAGGACGGTCAATCATGGCGCTTCTTGCCTTCATATAATCAGCCGAAATGACTCCCAAATCGACAGCATGCTCTCACTCGGGAGTGGACCAGCCCATCAATGCAGCAACCCCCCCCCCAAGACCGTACTCGCTGCAGATTTGCACCGTGGCGGCGGGCATCCTAGAGCAAACGGGCAAGCGTTGATACATGGAAACAACGTCTCCCTTTCAGAACTCTCCGACACACGTGGTCCAAAGCCTCCTTAGATACAACGACAACGACAACGACACTCGCGAACCACGTACGTACGCCTCTGCGTTCTTCATGTTTGGGAAATCGCACGCCGTTGAGCCGTTTAATATCCGAAAATATACAGTTTATGCTATGGTACCATCATATATGAAGTCTAGTCTATGTACCCAAGCATCCAACCACAGCGATGTCATGTCGATGGAAAACGACTCTACACATGAAGCATTGCGACCGACATCCAACACAGATGAGGTGGTTGTCTTGCCTCCCAATCAGCCGAAATCAACTCGACGATCAGACGACATACTGCGGTACTTAGTGAATGTACGAGCCAGTCCCCTAAGATCACGCTCACTACTGGAAGTGACTGAGTAGGCTGATAGCAAAATCATTCTTTCAAGTTTGATACGTGGTCGAGGACATCCAAAGCAAAAAGGCAAGCGAACCACACTTCCCCCCGGCTCTTCCTAGGCATGATTATGCCCCTCACGAACACACATTGACTACGAAAGATATAGGTCACGATGTCTTGCAACTCTTTTTTTTTACCGACAGTTTGCATAAACAATTGCCGACAGCGCCTAAGGTTGGTCACGCAACAAGCACCTAACGACGAACTGAGAATCAGAGTTCAGCAGGAATTTACTTCGAAGCCCTCTGGTTGCCAAAGCGGGTGTCCTGCGCGTAGTACTCCTGGACCTTATCCTTCTGCGCCTGCTCTTGTGCATGCTTGCGACCTGCGGCGACATTTTTGGCATCCTTTAGAGCAACGGCGGCGAGGGCCTTCTGCTCTGCATAGGCGGTACCTTTGATGGAAAGCTCGCTGATGTTTGCTTCAAGCGCGGCTGCTTCTTGCTGAAGCGCGTTTCTGTCTGCGGCGACTTCCGCGGAGAGCTCAGAAATAAGTCCCGCAAGCCCGACTATCTTGCGCTGGACTTCGTTACGTGCTTTCACGATGTCGCTCTTTTTAAGTCGAAGAGCCGCAATTTCCGCCTCCTGGTCCTCGGTGAGCTCGGCGTCGGCCGTTGCGGGCACGATCTTGGCGATTTTCCGCTGGACTTTCTCGCGGTCTTGATCGAGCTTGGCCGCTTCCCGGCGAAGACTGCGCAGGGACACTTGGTGCGTTGCGATTTCCGCTTCTATAGCCCCTAGTCCAGCCAAGCTGTTTTGGACCTGAAACGATCGTTCCTCGAGCCTCCTCTTCTCGCTGCCGTTCAAATTGCTGGCCTGGCTGGCGAGGAGGAAGGCGCTCTGCGCATCGTGCAGCGCGGTCGTGGCATCCTTAAGGTCCTTGGGAATCTTGAAGATCCCCTGCATGTTGCCAATGTGGTCCTCAACGATCTCGACGACCCTTTTCGTTTCTTCGGGGTTGTTCTGGCTGAACCAGATCTTGCGGAAGATGATCCAGTCCTACGATGTGAAGGAGGGGGAACAGGGGGCAAAAATGACGCCTGGTCCTGTTGTCGTGATTCCATGGACTCACGTTTGGCTACCGGAAGTAGTAGACGCGGGGGGGGGACAAATCGACGAGACATTTCGGTGTGTGACCGTGGCCCTCCGAGCCTCAATATCCTACAAAATACCGTGCATTCCACCTTCGAAAAACATACCAAACCACAGCAAGCACCTCCCTCCGATAATCGCCGCTGAAAACACATCGCGGCGCAGCAGAAAAGCACATGTGTCGTGACGCACCTCGTTGGTCATGGCGAGAGCGGCATCGGTCACCGCCTCACGCAGCGCATCGTTATCTCCACCATCGGTGGCGACAACGCGGACGTTGATGCCGACGTGCGCCTGCAACACCAGGTCGCTCTCCAGCTCTGACAGGAAACCTGCCGGATTCGGGGCCCTGAAGTACTCCCTCTGGAACACCTCGTAGTCCTCTTGTGTCCACCTCTTGTCTTGGTCGACCTGCTCGTCTCTCGAAAGCTTGTCATCTTTCCTGATCCAGCTGCGTGAGAGGCGGTCGATCGGTCGTTCGGTCGGGGAAGAGGTAAGTTGGGCGAACAGTGCCTCTCCCTATCGCCGCAAGGCTGAAAAAGGCAAAATCTAACACATAACGCACGGAGGCTACACCATCACGACTAGTAGAAGAGTGAAAACTTTGACCGTCGTCTGCCGTTTCCGTGCTCAGGGTGAATAGTCGAAGCCCTGAATGTCGGTTGTGCCGATACCATGGGCATGTGTCTGTACTCAGAATAATGTTTCCCTGTTGAGGGGTGAATTGGTGGAGTCAGTACTGCCCCTCAGTACGCGGTTTACGGTGGAAGACACCACTGCGTAGTCGTAAGTCTAGGGTTCGCATCAAACACTACAATATTGATAGTCTGCATACCAACGGAAATACCCGACGACACAAAGATGCGTGTGAAAAAACCACAAGTGGTATTCTCATCAACGCGTCCTCAAGACACCTACCTCTGCTCCCAAAGCTTCAGGGTGTCCCAGTACGCCTTGTCGTCCGCGTTGGCGTCGACGTACACCCTGCCGAGGCGAGCGAGCGGACCCAACTTGTCCCACGTGCGCTTACGCTGCTCCAGGACCACAGCCGCTTCTTCTTCGTCGTCGTAGTCCTCCCCGGGCCTCGCTGCAAAGTAGTCCGCCTTATTCTTCTTGGCTCTCCGTCTCATCTCCGCCTCGATGTAGACCCCGACATCATCCGCGTCCATGAAGTGCAGCAGCGCGTCGGCGCCACTGCCTCCGGTGGTCGCGGTGTCCGCCGCTTTGCGGATGACCCTCGCGACGTTCACCCCGACGTCGTACGCCACAGGCTGCGGCGAGGGAGTGCCGGTTTGGTTGGTTGAGGGGTAGTAGTAAGAAAGCTTGCTCCAGACGCCGTCATCCTTGTCGTCCTTCCTGAATTCCAGAACGTTGTACACGGCGTCGACGAGGTCTTGCACCACTCCTTGAGCGATGGGGTAGGCGGTCCGGAGCAGGTCGAGAATGGCGGTTGGCACCTGTGCTTGGTACAGACGTGTTGACATACGGCGAGGAGAGGAGTGGCGACAGGTCAGTCACAGGACGAGGAGTGCTTTACCTATCGCACCATCGTTTGTGGATTGATGATTGGCCCTGGAAGCATCACTACCGCGGGTCGGTCCATAGCTGTGAGCTTTGGCTGCGTTGCCGGGAATCCGACCGCGCTAGGATTCACATCGATGCTTGTGTGCATCAGGGCGCAGGGTGCACATTGTGTGGCCGAATCACCCCTAATGAAGCACATGCTTGCGAAGGCCAATGTCCCGCCCAACCGGAAAGCATTGACAAATGTGGTGGTATATCCTGTTCTGCTTCACGTTTGCAATTCCTACCCTACAGTATAAGTGCTTCGGTAGATTACTGCGCTGACGATTGGCGTTCGTAGGCCTGCTCCAGGGGCAAATACGACAAGGTCACGCCGCTCCCGTTCCTTGCACAGCGGTCGAGACAATGATGGAGTCGCGTTGTTGGGGTTGGTCTCGTCGAGGAGAACGTCACCCCAACGCTTCGCCCGAATCCTCCACGCGGCCGTGATTAAGTTTACCGATGACTTCGCGTAGAGGGCGCGCGGACAGAGGCATCAAGGGGGGAACGAGCGAGAGAGTTTAGAGGATGGACGGCGGCTCTCGCGCGGGTGTCATGCATTCGCCATGCCAAAACGTTTTCGACGGTCTGCTGAGAGCTCCGGCTCAACTACTGTACGGTGGATGAATCACCTGCAGAGAGGCCTTGTCGGGATCCTCATCATCCAAGACATCGATCGTGTTTTCGAGCACGCGCGTGACGGGCACGAGCGCTTCGATGCCGCCCCTGTCCGTCACCGCCCACGAGGAGTTGTCGTTGAAGAGGGCGTCGGCGAATGTTTCGGGAGTCGGGGCCCTCGGCCCCGTGCACCTGACGTACTGTGAATAGCGAGTGTTGAGCGTCTGTTCTTTACCACCCTCGCCTTCGGCGTTCGTCTTGATTTGCTTGCTCCCGACGCTATTCGCGCTGCTGAGCGACGCGGCCTTCTTCTTTTTAAACCCGAAGAACCCGCCTGATCCGCCACTCTGTCTCGTACGCGCATCGTTCGTATGGACGGGAGGGCCGGGAGAGCCAAGGACGGAGAGGAAGGAAAACGTCAAGCGTGATCATGTGAGCTGAAGGGGCGCTCCTTTCTCAACATTGGTGGAAATTCTTGCGGGGTCGTGCGTGTTCGATGCAGGCGCGCGTGGAATACGTCTCCTTCCCAACGTTCAAGTCAATTGAAACGTTCTTGGATCCCAGATATCTCCTCATTGCTTGCGTCCATGTGATCTTCGTGTCCACCGGACCTGTCAAACCGTTCCATCCGTGGCTTTTAGCGGCAGCTTCAAGGATTACAGAAATTGAGTGGACCGTCACTGCTGGAATTCGGATCATCGACTGTTCGAAAATCACGGGATGGGGCCGGAGCATACCTGCTTGCTTTCCGAGGTTGCCTCAACTTCCCTCAGAGTCTCACTTGCCGCCTCAAGCAGGATGGAAGATTTGGTCTGGAGAGCAGTTTGGTCAATCAAGAGCCATAGGGACACGGGAAAGGCAAATAGTGACGCTACGGTACATCAAAGGCAAGAACGCGCTCGTTTCTCGTTCCGAAAGGCTTTCCACTATCGGAGCAGACATGTAGTAGAAACCAACGCGTGGTGTAATTTCAAGGCGCGCGCCCAAAAATCCGAAGCAACTCTGGTTCGGGTTCTTGTCGGAATGGCGCATGTTGTGGCAGCATTGGGGAAGTACAAAGTACACCAACATGTGCAGCATATTCCAGCTTGGTCGATCCGCTCACCGCTTCGCTTGACGTCATGGTGAGGGTGCTGTAGAAGATGCCTCCGAGCTGTAAACCGTCGGCAGGCATGTATTCAGGGGCGAAGTAAGCTAGGTCCCCAGGGGCACGGGTCATGAAGGTGAACTCTATGGGGGTGCCAACACCACCCATCAACGCGGCGTTCCAGAACAGGGCACGTTGCGGCACATTTTTTCACACAAGATCCTTAGACCAATTCTCTCAAAGAAGACTGAAACGTCACCCACCACACCAAGAAAAGAGTATCGGTTGAGTTGAAACAAATATTTTTTCCATGCGAAACGGACAGCTAACGCTATTTGCAATACGTAGAGTGATGTTACCAGGCAAAGAGTATTTCCGTTTCCGATGCTGTGCGTGGGTGGCTTGCAACGCCCAAAAATGAGTACGCGGTGAGAATCAGGCTAGTTACAGAGGGAAGCCGACTACACCTCGGGTACGTTGGCATCGACGAGTGAAAAGCACAAAGCTTTGCCTGTTGAGGGTCATACGTTGCCGGGGCATCCGGGAGGGCCCGCTCACAACCTTCTAACTTCCTGTAGTACCTCTTGACGCCCGTTGGAAACGTGGGATCCGAATGCGTCCAGGAACTCGTTGGCATCGCGGATGCTGTCCACCTCCAGGGCTGTCTTGAACGCGTCCTCTGATAGGACCATCCTTGCCATCGGGATACGGAACGACTTCATGGGGCACCGGATGTCTGCGTCGTGGAAACGACAGAGGCGTGGAGCAGCAGGGGAACGTGTCGTGTGGTGCTGAGAGCGGGGTCCAAACGGCGGGTGGCAGTGAGGAGAAGGCACCACAACGCAAGGACCTCAGAGTGTAGCACGCGTTGGGCTCCGAAAACTCTTCGTTCCCATCCTGACATGCAGATTCATGCTGTGTTACGTCGTCCAAGAGCCCGCACCGCATCAACGCGAAGCCGGATATGCGACGCCAGGCGAGTAGAGAGGGAGAATAACACGCGAGAAAGATTTGAGGAATGCCGCGACCAGTACGAGCACTCGAACACATGTCTGTAGAATTTCCGGTCTTTGCCAGAAGCAGTTCGTTCTTGGTGAAAGGATGGAGGCGGTACACTCCAGCGACAAAGTTACGGCCGAGCAT